AAAAATATAAAATTTTTAGATAATGTATAATATAAAAATATAAATAATTACATTAAAAAATATAATATTAGCAATTAAGTGTGTCAATAACCTGCTCTATAGCGAGGTGAAAAATACTAATTTGCCATAATGATTAGGACAAAATAAAAATGGCATAATTATTATTTTACCGTGAGACATCTCATAGAGTATAGAGTTTCTTTTTTTATAAAATTATTTAAATATTTTTAATTTTATTTTTGTATTATTTTATTATAAATATTTAAATAATCTTATAAAACAAAATACGTGTAGTCTGACCTGAAAGTGCAGTCTTTCCTTTTATACTTTCCTTATATTAAATAAATAAATAGGTAGATAAATAAATAAATAAATAAATAAAAAGGGAGACCTTCAGTTAAAAGTAGAAAACTCAACCTACTGCAATCCCCAGCCTCTGGTTTAAAAGCATCAGCATCGTCTTCTCCTGCCTTCCCTGCTCTCTCTGTAATCAGAGTTAGACCCGTTTTCCTTAGTGAAACCCGGAGACACAGGAGCTTACCTTATCCACATTTCGGTGCAAACAGGTGTCTATGTTTTAGCTTCAGAGATGCCAAATTTTCACTTGTAAGTTCCACTCTTTCCCTTTCTGTAAATTCTGCTTTACTCTGATGTAGTTAACTTATATCTGCGGAAATGGGCGTCCTTCGAAATTTGATCTTCATTAACAAGCCTTCTCATTTTATCAATGCTCTTCTTTGCTTCTTATAGTTGTTTTTTCGATCTTTCCCCTCCATTTTTCATCATGCCACCGAGCCAATTCGGCTTGCAGTTGTAATTTGTGTTCCCTGAAATAATGCATCTGCTGAAATTTAACTTATTGCAAATGTTTCTTGCTTTTTCTGGGTTTCTTTTTGGGAATAACAAATTGATATTGGTCTAATTTTTGTTGATTAAAAAAAAATTGATATGGGTCTAATTCATTGTGTATATTCAGATGATTTTTGGTTTATTTATATTATTTACTATCAAGATGAGATGTTTCATACTTTCATAAAGCTGGCAGAGGCTTTAGAATGCTCAGAGAGGAGAGTTTTTGCAGTTGATGTCTGGAACACATCCCGTTGGCCTCTAATGGTTTACCTGATTGGTTGCATTTTGCTTTACCATATTCATTTAGACTTGGGTACAGAATCTAGTGAATTTTGAAATTGGAAGTTTGGAACTTTATGTGCTTGTGTGTTCTAATAAACCTTACAATTGGAATGATATGTGTGTCTTCACCAGACCCATCATTAGCATGGCACATTGTTGATGTTACTAGCACATGGGCCATAAAGCTGATTACTTGATGGAAAACGTTCATCCATATGATCCATCCTGTTGTTGGTATCTTTTCTGGGGTAATTTGTTTAGTAAGAAGTGATCTGTCTTGCAAAGTATGGTAAACATGTTTAACCATGGCCTTGTTAAACTTATCAGTTGAAAGAATAAGTCAAAATGCTAAGCATTGAGTTCATGATCAGGACTTCTCCAAAATAAAGCATAACCAATGTTTTTTCATTTCATCAGAAGATTGTCTGCTCCCCATTCACCTGCCAATCATGTTTCAGACACCCTTTTGTGTCCTCTATCCATTTTAGTGGAGTATCTCTCAAACACACCACAGGCAAATCAGTATGAATCTGTGGTGAAGAAAACATATTTATCATTCGTCTTTGCTAGTTCCTTGAGACATAAACCTCTCAAAGCCTTGCAAAGTGCTGTTGATGCTGGAGGAACATCCATGTATTGCAAGAGCCATGGATCAAATAACGGTGCAAACTCATTTCAGAAGCAAAATATGAGTATGGAGGCCCCTGCAGCAGGTTGTCCTGGTTCTCATGAATTTTGTGATGATGGATACTATAAGGAAATTCAAAGAAGAAGAAAGATTGGACTGGCTAACAAAGGGAAGGTACCATGGAACAAAGGCAAGAAACACACTGCAGGTAAATCTGTTTTGGATGTAAGCTAATTACTTTGTTGGTTTTTTGGTCATATAATTACTTTGTTGTTAAGGCTTCATGGACTGGGAAAACATTTATGCTTTGAGTTCTATATCATACAGAGACTTGCTTACGAATCAAGCAAAGAACTATAGAAGCCTTGAAAGACCCCAAGGTGAAGTCCTAAAAACTGAAGCAGTTTAGGTACTTTTTATTTTTTGCATGTGTCTTCTTGAGATATTGGATAAACACTGAATAAAGTGTTATCCAACTGTAAGAGTTGTTTTTGATGATTCTATATCTTAACTTTTGTAGATGGTAGTGGTGAAATGTTTTGGCATCAACCTTTTGGCATTCTGTTTGCCTGTTTCATCATTTTACCACTTTGCATTTGTTATTACCTTTTAATTTCATATATTAGTGGAATTTAATTATTGAGATTTTCTATTCCAGGTTAGGAAGAGGATGGCAGAACATCCCCATCTTCATAGGTACTCTTTTGTTTGGTCTACCTACATTTATCTGCTTTCTATTCTACAAAATGTTAGAGAAAATACATTCTTCTGTAAGCATTGAAATCTAGAGTTCAGTTTAGGCTTTAATCATGTAGGATATGAAAATAGATGAATCAATAAAAGCTTGGGATGGTAGTTTTAGTAGTTTTAGGGTTTACTTATGGATCTAAATGCTGCTAGTTGGAGGAAGCACATAGACCTATTGAGCATAGAAAATAAGTGGGAAGAAGCACTCTATGGTGGAGCCTATGGCATACTAAAGTAAGTGTAATGAGCTATTGTTGGGATTGTCTACAACGCCCTCTGTGCAACATGACTTCTGGATTTGTTGCTATTTGCATTTCTTTATTGGTTATTTTGCATGTTCAAAAAATCCTGATTACTACTTATCATGTAAGCAAAAATGAAATTAGTGAATTGAATCAAATCTTCTCTACTCAAGTTGCACCATTCTGTTGATAGACAAATGTGCCATGCTATGACTAATCATTTGTTTTAGGGTATGACATTTATGAGTAACAATAAATCTCACCTCTAGAGATCATGAAAGCAAGCTGACTACTCTTGCAGTGATCAAAGCAAGGCAAAAATTAGTTCCTCACTCAGGCGTCATTGGGCTAAGCGTAAGAAATTGAAACAGCTAGGAGAAAATTTCTTTATATCATGGTTGGAATCTATAGCAGAAGCTGCTAAGAAGGGAGGGAGTGACCAAGAAGAGATAAACTGGGATAGCTATGAAAAAATAAAACAAGAAATAGCTCTTCAACAGCTCCAGCGGGCTGCACAAAAGGCTAAGGCCAAGGAGACGGCTAAATTAAGAGCAGAGAAAGCAAAAAAGGCAAAAGCTGAAAAATTGGCAAGGGTTGCTCGAAAGAGAAAAGAAAGAGAAGAGAAAGCAAAAGCAAAAAGAGAGCTGAAGAGAAAGACATGTGGAAAATCAAAGAAAGATGAAGGAAAGATGGAAGGTTCACAAGGATTTAAACTTAAACAGAGATTAACAAAGGTGAGAACCCATCAAAAGACATAAAAGTTAGTATCCCCTGTCTGGCAGGCTCTGTGTGCTTTTGATTACAGATTGCATACAAATTTTGTAGCACTGAATGTTAGTACACAGGCTTATGAATCATGTTATTGATGTTCTACAAGTAATAGGCAATGTCCTTGGCATATCAGAGTACAAACTTCAAAGAAAATGATAATTGAGGTCTAAATTCCATACCCAG